TTCGCCGCCCTGAGATCTCTCCTCGGCAACACCGAATTCGCCGACCCCAGCATCGCCATCGATCCCCACGCAGCAGATTGGTACGCCTTCGCCACACAGGGCAACGGAAAGCACGTCCAGGTCGCTTCATCCCCGCTCCTCTACGGGCCCTGGACACTGCTTTCTTCGTACGACCTCCTTCCCATTCCCGGGAAATGGGTCGACACGAGCGGGCCATCACCAAACTACTGGGCACCTGACGTGCAGTACATCCAGTCCACGCAAACTTTTGTTCTGTATTACTCGGCCCTGCGATCCGATAGTCGGTTTCATTGCGTCGGCGTGGCTATTTCAAGGGGAAACATCACGGGCCCGTACACGGCGCACGACGAGCCGTTTATTTGTCCGCTGGATGGCGGGGGCGCCATCGACGCGAGCGGGTACCATAACTTGCGCACGTGGACGCGATGGGTGGTGTACAAGGTCGACGGCAGCGCCAAGGGGAGCGGCGGCCCTTGTGGGAATGCGGATCCGCCGGGCCAGCCGACGCCCATCATGCTGCAGCACCTCAACGCGGACGACGGGTTCACGCTGATTGGTGATCCGATCACGATCCTTAACAGGGATCCCGAAGTGGATGGGCCGCTGATTGAGGCGCCGAGTTTGATTCGGGTGTCGGTTAGGAATGACACGGACGATGAGGACGAGGGGGGCGTGTTCATCTTGTTCTACTCGTCGCATTGCTGGAACACGCACGAGTATGATATCAAGTATGCGACTGCGACAGACATCAGGGGCCCGTATACGCGCCGCGGCACGCTCTTGGGGCGGGGTGCTGGTAATGGGGGGTATGGGCTGATTTCGCCGGGTGGGGCGACGAGTATTGAGGGCGGTGGGGTGTTGATGTTTCATGCGAATTGTCAGGCTGGTAGGTGTTTGCATCAGATTGACTTTGAGGTGGATGGTTCGGGGAAGGTGACGGTTGTGGTTTGACATTCGCTGTTGTAATGGGATGAAAGCATGCGGTATGTAAGTCGGGGGGAATAGCAAGGGAGATGAGAAATGTCAAGCAGCAAGCGGTTGTTGGAGTTCGATGTGTCTTTGAACCTCCAATTTTGGTTGAGCAATTACCTAGAAGGAAAGTGCCATGAATCAACCATTCCGTGTACATTGAACAATGAACATATCGTCAACTTCCACGAGGTCCTTATATTAGCATCAGCCAGATGACTTGCTCGATCTCACCCTAACTCCCCATTTCTTTACCCTCGACAATCTGCCCTTTGTGTTTAGCCAATGACATGTTTTTGTATCCCTTTATACTTCCCAATGACCCGCTTGTACCCAAGTTAGTCGTAGCATCGTGGTCTCTACGTCATGGTAGCCATGTGGTACCATCCATCGTAGGGGTAGATACTAGCTGCTTCACGATAAAGGGAGAAAATAAGCTTCACCTCGTCTGTTCCCAGGCTGTCTGTTAATATATCTTATCTAGCTGTCTCACAATTCGTAGCCAATTCAACACATGGATGATCGGCAAATACATGCCGACCATGACTTTGAGCGCCAAGCAAAAGGCTACCTGCCAAACCAGTCGGATAACTCCGTCTTAGAGAAATCCACACGAGCCAATGTGGTGACCACGCGCTGTTCAATACGGAAGGAGCAGGCCTTACATGCGCGACATTTAGCAGCGGCTACAACATCAAGTCATCAGCTTGTCGAAACCGGGGTTCGTCACTGCCGATCTCTCTGCGATATCCGCCCCACGCCAAGCGCGCAATGCGACCCAAGATCTCGGTACTTGACCTACCTTCTCGATGCAGGGCTTGGCTTCGATAACGACCTTCTGAACCGGGAAATAAGTCCCGTCGTACCAAGGATTGGTTGCCAGAAGTAGTCTCTCACGAGGCTCTCGGGCGGTTGTCGGGGATGGGTTCACAAGAACGATAAGATGATAGAACTGTGAGTTGACTGAGAAGTATAGAAAGTCTCAACAGTTCCAGCTGAACCACTCGAATCCTCAGTGCCAGCCTCTGCTCCGACACCAAGTCTTCGGTCCTACGTTGCAATGAAGTTCGCCACCGCCGCCCTCGCCACGGCTGCTCTTGCCGGGACAGCCATGGCAGAGTCCATGGCCGTCCTGAAGCAGAGAAAGCTCGACACCTGGGCTGCTCAGAACGAGGCCGGCGTCTTTGACATCAATCGGTATGCGGCACTCGCGGCGACGACACCCTGCGTCAATAACAAAGCGGGCGAGTACGCGTGCTCCAATGTCGATCTCATCTCTTTCCTCCGCCACCAGGACATGGGCTCGTCGACCCGCAAGGGCAATGACGTTTGTGAGTCCTCATGACACAGCTTGATGGTTTTGTGTATTGCTAACACTGCTAGGGGGTTGGACGTCTTCCACTGGTCGCGAGTTTGGTGCGGTCGGCCAGACCGATGGAACTGCTTTTGTCGAGGTCAAGTCTGATGGATCGCTTGTCTATCTTGGCCGTCTGCCAACGCAGACAACTTCCTCGTCGTGGAGAGACATGAAGGTCATCGGTCAGTACATCCACTCTCCCTCTCCTTGACTCTTTTTCACCATCGATTGTCCCAGGTGACTATGTCTACATTGGCTCGGAAGCAAGCAACCACGGCCTCCAAGTCTTCGACATGAGGAAACTCCTGACCATCACCACGCCCAAGGTCTTCAGCATCACTACCGACCTCACAGCCATCTTCAAAGGCTTCGGCAACTCGCACAACATCGTCGCCCACGCAGAAAAGAACATGATCTATGCTGTCGGCACCGGCACCGCAGCGGGCTGCAAGGGCGGTCTGTACATGGTGAACGTGACCAACCCGGCCAGCCCCGTCAAGGCAGGCTGCTTGTCGGCTGGCGGCTACGTGCACGACGCGCAGTGCGTCGTGTACAAGGGCCCCGACACACGGTACACGGGCCGCGAGATCTGCTTCAACTTCAACGAGGACACGCTCGACATCGTCGACGTCACCTCCAAGACCAGCCCCGTCACGCTCAGCAGCACGGGCTACACGGGATCCAGCTACACGCACCAGGGCTGGCTCGCCGACGACAGCATGCGCTACCTTTTGCTTGACGACGAGCTCGACGAGCAGGACAAGAAGGGCGTCGCGGCCAACCAGCACACGACTACCTACATCGTCGACATTGCCCTCCTCACCAAGCCCGTCTTCAAGGGCACGTACCAGTCGCCCGCCGTCTCCATTGATCATAATCAGTACGTTCTCAACGGGCGGTCGTACCAAGCCAACTATGGTTCCGGGCTGCGCATCATCGATGTCAGTTCTCTGAGCACTGCCCCGACAGGAAGCGGGATTAAGGAGGTCGGATACTTTGACTGCTACCCTGAGGATGACAGCGTCGGCGGAAAGGCCGAGTTCACCGGCACGTGGAGTGTGTATCCGTACTTTACGTCGGGATTCATCCTGCTCAACAGCATTGAGCGGGGGATTTTCTCGCTCAAGTTCACTGGTGCTTGATCTTGGCGATGGAGATGGAGATTGATCGTTAGACTCTTTCCTTGAGACCGAAGGGCTCCATGGACAAGAGGACGAGAGCGAGAGGTTTAGTCAGTAATTTCTGTTGTATATATTTTGAACATGCTCATGATTTTGTACTCAGGCATCAGTACCACCACCACGACATGCAGGCGGCGTAGCGCTGCGATGATTTATTACATTTAGTATTTCTCTCAAAAAGAATCTATTGCGAAAGTAAAACGAAATTTACATGAAAGGGGAGAAGTAGAGGAAAAAAAAGCGGAGTTGAATCAGGAGACCCAGGCAGTGAGGGTCTGGATCGGCTAACCCAAGTGCTCGCCGTGTGCGCAAACTTTGTTATATACCACCACGTGGACCACTTTGCTGGGGGACAATCTCGGCGAGTTCTTGGAAAACGAGGTTTGGATAAAAATCCTTATAACCCCCTCACCTCCACCAATATCTCACCGTCTACCTAGAATTCACCTGCCTTCGAGACTGGAAACTCCAAAGTCCACACTACCCGACGAGTCCTTCGTTCCAATTTCCTCATTTTTGTCAGGAATTTAACAACGTCACCGTGAACTTTTGTCCAGACATTTCCCCTCAAGTCATGCGCGAGATGGGAGAAGAGAGCGCCTGTCTCTAAGAGCCCGGGCTGAGGTGGCACGGATTCTCAGCCAGCTGAACCCAAATTTTTATTGTTGAAAAAGGCCCATCTCTCTCCTGCCCTCCGGCTAATACTCTTCCAGCATCGCGTCTGCACGGTCGAAACGGACCCGACCACGCCAAGTCGGAACCAGTCCGCTGCTAGACCGCAATAATTTCATCTGGCGCGGTGTGATTCACAATTCACGTTCAGGAGCGATCCCTGCTGGAAGATAGTGTAGCTGAATCATTAAGCAGGTAGGCTGCATCTCGTCCCGTCTCTGTTGAAAAAAGTGACAGTGATGACATCGAAAACTTAGGAACGGACGGAAACTTGAAATCCAAAAAGATTTTGATCTGAAAATAGCTCCATGTTAGTTGTGACCTGGTTCTGATTGATCGTTTTTGCGGGCCAAGGCGAGGAGCGCTGAGGGACGGGAGAGGGTTCGACGCTGGAGTTGGTTAAGATGCAGTGTTCTGTGGAGACGATGGTGGTCAGCCGGGCGATTTGATACTTGAGGCTCGAGGGGGGCCAGATATAGATCGGTGGCTGGGGTTTGGTTCGTGATGCCGGGCTTATTACAGCGGCCGCCGAACTCGCTGCCAGTGGCGAGTCTCTCTATGGTCGGTCTCCTTGAGACCGCAAAATTACCGCAGCAAGAGACCTGCAGCTGTACTATCAGTTCTTAACTGTGAAGTGAGCAAAAATACTTGCGACAAGTCTGTAGGTAGTGGGGGAAGTGGAGTGAGACGACGAAAGTGGAGACTTGCTTCCTTCTAGAATTCGCCTTCAATTCCCGTCTGCAAACCAGCTACAGGTGACCATATTAGAGAACTTTCGTACGTAAATTTCAACAAAACAGGCTATGTTAGTACAGTGGTGAGTATCGGGCAAGTCGAAGTAATGGTAAAAGCCACTACTAGACACCGTAATGAGTGCGCGAGGCATGGGTTCGATTCCCATACATGGCCAAGGCAGTGCTAGCTAATTTTTTCTTTTCTTTGTGTCACGATCCCATTGGAGGAAGATGTGGGGCCAGCAGGAGTGCATGCGGGGGATCCCGCATGGGCTGGCGCACGGGCCAAGTGGCCCCCTAGGGGGCCACGGTTGAGGCAAGGGGGCCACCATGTATATAAACCAGAGAGAGCTGAAGAGCCTTTGTGGTTCTTCAGCTATCAACTAAAGTAGACAGTTTAGTCTTTGCAATTGAACCGTGGTTCAGCAAGCGATCTATTTACTCTTTGATACTCTATCCACTCTTGGTTACTGTGTGTGACCACTCACCCCCTTGAGCCTCACCCCATACCCCTTGACGAGGATCCAGATCGTCACAAAAAGTGATTAGAGAAGTTGAACAGTTCTAATAATAATCGGAGCTTACTTTCATTCCTTTATTCCTTCCTCTAACCCTAAAGCATATATATGCGCGCGCATACATTTTCTTTCTTCTTACGTACACGTACGGCGCGCGGGGTGTAGCCGAAAAAAGTTGCATTCATTCATTCACCTTCTTCGCAATAGCTCGTCTTCAACTCTGCAACCAAGTGACTATATCAGAAACTTTCAGTACGCCGTCTTTTAACAAACCAAAAGTGGCCATGCTAGTACAGCGGTGAGTATAGGGTACGTTGAAATAGTCGGAAACGACTACTAGGTACCGTAATGGAGTGCGCGGGGCATGGGTTCGATTCCCATACATACCCAAGACAAATCCTTGTTTTTTTTCTTCATCTTTTTACATTTCTTTTTATTCCCAGTCTGCAACCGGTTGACCATGGAAGGAACCTTTTCGCGTGTAAATCTTTCACTAACAACAAAATGAACCAATTACTACAGTAGTGGGTAGGTATCTAGCACATCAAAATAATTGTTTTCTCCGGCAAACGACTACTGGACACCCTCTTTCTAGAAGTTCTTGTGGCCTGGCCTAGATTCCCAGACTATTCATGACATCAGCAAAATTTCCCCTGGCTTTTTCTTCTTCTTCTTCTTCTTCTTCTTCTTCTTCTTCTTCTTTCTTTTTTTCGCTTTTAATCTGCTCGCCCCTTTTCTAACTTGCTCTCTCTCGTAGCAAGCTATTATAGTAAAAAATATCATCCCTCCCCTCAAGCAAAACAATCACAATAAATATCATTACATTCTGAGTCCTCACACAAGTTATCACGACGACGCAACATCATCTTCTAGTTTTTCGGTTGCGCCCGCCCCTCTCGTCCCGCTCCTTTGAATATGAGAACCACAAAACACCACCAACCTGAAGCCATCTTTTACATGAGAAACTCGCTGGAAGTATGTGAGTGGGGAAAGTGCAGGAGCAAAAACAATGGTGAATCCCTGTTCTTCTATAATTTCACCTGCACACCAAACCCCTCCTAATTCTACAACCAGGTGACCATGACCATGTACAAAGCTCTCCATGCCCTGATCTTTCACAACCCAAAGGTGATCAGTTAGTACAGTTGGTCGTATGTAGCAAATCAGTCAGACTCCTGGGTACGCCACTTGTAAAAGCGCTGACCAGGTCCCTGCTAAGGACCTGAGTTCGATTCCAAGACTGGTCAAGAATTCAATTCTTTTAGTCGTATTGCCCTTCCCTTCACGTAATATTTTCAACAGTTGTCAACTTTGTACAGCACATATCAGCGGCGTGTGGAAAATGTTGATGAGCGCATGGCCCAAGTTGCACGCGGAGTGTCAGCCAAATGGCCAGCCAATTTTATGAAAGGAATTCTTTCGTGATGGACAACTGGAAAGGCTACCGCAACCAACACACCCAACACACTGACCGCACCCATCGGACATCGGACATGGTCTCACCTATCGCACCTATCCTACCAGTCAAACCTATCACATCTTGACACACCTTTACGCCTGCATTATTCTAACAAAGAATATGTCAAGATCAGACCAAGAAAAAATAAACAGAAAATACGCAATGAACTCGCCACACCGATTCTCTATTTCATCTTGTCTATAGTAAGAGAGCCTCCCTCTTGGACAGGCAGGCCATTTCCCTAAATTCCAACCGACTCCTTTCTAGCATTATCTTGTCCACCCGGTAAAGCACGACAAAGGTATCTTTACAAAACGAATTACAATAAGATATAACATAAAAAGGTCATATTGCAATATCGCACAGTCCAGACTCGCAAGCGCTCCCCCCAAAACATCCACAACCTCAAGCATGACAAAAGGAAAGTGAAAATAAAAACCATGCACGTGTGCAGGTGTGTCGCGCAACAACGAAGGAAAATCAACTCAACCCGATTACAAAAGGAAGCGCAAGAAGGAAACAGCACCAATAGCAACGGTCATTCCTTGCGGCACCAGCCACCTTGCATTGCTTGCGCCGGCGGTGACAAATGGCTGCTGGCCACCGTGACCATCTCCGCCGAAACCACCCGTTGCATGGGCAGATCCACTCCCTCCTGAAGCTCCCTTGGTTGGCGTAGAAACGGCTACCTCAGGCTGATGATACACGAGCTCATGATCCAGATTAACAATTCCCTCGGCTGTAGCCAGCCTGTCTGGCAGTGCTGTCTCTGCAGCCGCACCAGCAGCAGCGCCGTGCGGCGGGCAGATGGTGCATGGTATCTTGCCCGCCACCGCCGTAGCGCCTTGGACGTTGTCTGGGACCACTGTTTCTTGGACGTGGACGGCTACAATCACGGTGGTTGGGTTGAGATTCTGGGGCGCTGCCGCCCCTGTCTCCTCCGTGCTGCTGTCACCACTGCCGCTGTTATGTTGGCAATGGGTGCATGGCGCCTTCATAGATGCACCAGCTTGGGTGTTGACTGCTGCGGCGGAGGACTCGGACTTTGAGGCGCTGGCGGCCGCGGCATGGGAACTGGTGCATGATGTCGAGCTTCTGGTGGGTTTGGTCTGCTCCTCGGATTGAGAAGGGGCTGTGGTTGTTGAACAGGACTTTGTGATCCTGCTTGATGCCACCGCAGCTTTGGAGGATGATTGGGCAGCGACAGCGATTGTTGAACATGACTTTGTGATTTTGCTTGATGCCACCGCAGCTTTGGAGGATGTTGTTGAGCAGGATTGGGTGGATTTGGTCGATATCGTCTCAACTTTGGAGGATGTACATGATTTCTTGGTCTTGGTCGATAACTTGACCTTGGAACATGTCTTTTTCGTTTTCGTCTTGCTAGTGGATGATGAGTTTGATCTTTCTTCAGAAGTGGTTGTTGAGGAGGTTGTCGACTGGGTGGTGGAAGAGGTGGCGGAAGAGGTGGCGGAAGAGGTGGTGGAAGAGGTGGTGGAAGAGGTGATTGACGGGGTTGTCGACGGGGTTGTGGATGAAGTGGTTGATGGTGTCGTCGTTGGTGTTGTCAATGGAGTGGTTGATGGTGTTGTCGAAGGGGTTGTAGATGGAGGCTCAGTCGAAGAAGACGTCGAGGTTGTTGAAGATGACGTTAAACTCGACGAAACAACGGGAGGTTGACATGGTGCAGCATCGATGACGGTAGTGTCCAAAGTCACCATGGCGGTTCTGGCGTAGAACCCCCCGATATTGGACGCGCCCAAGTTAGAAGTAATGGCCTTCATGGCCAAGATGTTGCCAGCGAAGCGTGTCGTGGTTCCCAAGGTTGCTGCACTCCCAACCTGCCAAAAGACCCTGCAGGGCAGGCCGCCATTGGTCAAGAGCACAGCAGAGGCAGAGGCTGTGGTGAGGGTCGAGGTGATCTTGAAGATCCAGACGCTGTCTGGGTTGTTTTGGCCATCGAGAATGAGAGTCCCGGTCAATTGGGCACTGCTGGCGAAAAAGTACACGCCGGGGATCAGTTCAAGCCCTCCCAAGTCTACCCCCGTTAACACCATCGTTGTGGGTTGGTTGGTGATTGCATTGTACGCCGTCGTAATGTCATTCTGTGCTTGGAGTGGCACAGCAGGGTTCCCGGGCGGGTACTGCTGGTCGTTAACAACCGCGGGAGACCCAAAGCCTGTTATCGAAGATCCAGGAGAGACGCCTATGTCGCCTTTGATGACGGAGGGGCCGGTATTCGTGATGGCCGCGCCAGCGAGAACAGCAAACTTGACGGCGGTGCCGAGATCAACGAAGACCTGGGCATTGGCAAGCGCAGAGAAGGCAAGTGCAGCCCTCAGCAGGCGGAACGGGGAAGGCGCCATGCTGTGTGGGTGGAGCACTAGAGACTGTCGCTGCAGACGAAGGTGGATGCAAGGGAAGGAACGACGACGCGAGAGAGGAAGAAGAACCCGATGTATTTATTTTTCGGACAGCGCGACCAAAGATGGACAGAGGAGGAAATCCTCCTGCTCAGAGACATTGGTGGTCATTGAGCCCCGTGATAGGGGAGGTAAACAAGGTAAACAAGCAAATAGTCACCTACACTACCCCCCTTCCAACCGAAATCCGCTTGTTTGCCCGCTCGAACAGGCCATTTCTTTCGATAGCACCGCGCGAGCTGTAATTGCTTGGAGCTTGAAAGGCTGCATTGCTGGGGTTCGTCGACTGCAGCTGCTAGTGCCAGGGCAGTTCGGGCATTTTTGGCGCTGCGGGAGGAGTGGAGTGTAGCCCCAGTTCTTTTCTTGTCTAATGACCAAGGCATTGGGCAGAAATAAGATTTCACATTGTCTTGGCTCTCACCGTCATCGTGCCGTCAAGCCACGCCAAATGGCCATGAGATATGCTGTGGCAAACTGCTTTGTGTTGACGGGCATGACAGCAGCAGAGCCTTGGCAGCTGAATTCCATCACCGGCATGTTCGCAGCAGCAAGCACCGCCAACAAAAAGTCGCCCAATCTCGTATCCGCTGTTGAGAAACAAGTTCAGGGTCTTTCTTTTTTCAGGGGTAGTACCCCCCCAAAAAGGAGGAGTCCGGAATGGACGTGTCTAGCCCAACTGGGACGCGTCGACCGTTGGGGATGGATTCAGTCAAGGAATGAATGTGGCATTGATGGCAGTCAAAGTTTTACGGCAGGGGGCTATTCCGAGGATACA